AAGTCTCAGACACAAAAATGAAAGCTAGCGCTAGAAATGCTGATGCGGTTGTTCGCAAAGAATTTTGGGCTGACCCGTTTTACGCGCTTGTTTTCCTGGGAGACGAATGGCCAGCATGTGGTGAAGTGGTAAGCATTTATTCCAAAGGTGGATAATACTAACGGATGGAAGTCATGTTGGGACGACACGGAGAAGCAAGCTGGACATGCAAGGAAAATTATCTCTGTGGATGCCGGGAAAAGAGATGGCTGCTGAAAAGAAGCTGCCTGCTCAGTTGGCTGTAAAATGTCGGCCTTCAGAAGTAAGAGAGGAGACAAAAGGAACAACAGGAATTGAGAGTGCAGCAAGTGGTTGTTTGAAAAAGCCATACGGCTATTTCGGTGAGTTCTGCGGCAGAAGCAGGCAGGCTGAACTACCAATTATCGAGGTGGTTGCATCCAAAATTTTCCCAAATTGGAACTCAGAGAAGACCAAGTAGGATGGATTAGCATTTTTACTGCGAGAAAAGTGTTTACAGGGTTATCCGTCAAGCAGTTAGCTCAGCTGTCTGTTCAAACAGTTTTTGTTAGTCCCTGTCCGCTCTTGTGTGTCTTGATCCAGCATGTGTATATGCGCCCTTGTCCCCTGTCACCAATCAATAAATGACAAGTATTGGTTGGCCGATGCAGAGAGCAGCAAATAGACCAACTGTGTTAGGTGGGCCGATGGGTATGAGTGAATATTTGCGCTGAGGAGCACGTGAGTGGACTGCGTCGAGCAGGAGCATGAGATCCAGTAGCAGGAGTGGGGCAGACTCGACGAATGACTAAATTCCTGAAGATGGTGTCCACTCTTAACTAGGAAAACAGCTAAGCTGAAAGCAAACGGTGTCAGTTTACATGAATAATTAAGGCTGGTTTAAGTATGGAGGAAATGATATTCAGACTTCGCAGGAGTAGAACTAACTGAACCCTACGCTTAATTATGTTCTGAACCTTTTTTTTGAATCATTGGAGTATAATACATTATATATAAGGAA